TCTCTGATCATTTCATTAACTAAAGTTCCTGGGAAGGTATGGCTAATCCTGTTTGTTGTGTTCTACCTTTCACTGATTGTGAATTATCTCCCTGTAGATAATGCACACTCCTTGTGAATTATCTCCTTGTAGATAATTACTCCTTGTTAGTAATTTTAGACCAGGAGGCTTATCAATGAGCTCCCTGGGCAATCTGGTTGTCCCTCTAGAAGAATTTTGCATTTGCTTTTACCAGGTGTCCTAGGGTACTCACCAGCTGAGGATCAATTGTTATGTTAGTTTTTGGCCTGGGTAAGAAATTATACCAAATGAATGGTATAACCTGAACCCCAAATCCTGTATGAGAGAAGGCTCATGGCCACAATTTTCAGGGGGAGACATTTTCCCTCTAACCACCGCCCATACTGAGACAGATAAACTTGCCTTGTCCTCCTCTTTGATTGGTGGGCTATCTTTCTGATTCATTAATATGTAGCGCATTAGGGGACCTGGCTGTATGTATGTAAAGGTGTCTCAGCTCCACCTCTCCACCTGTGAGAGTTCATGGCCTTGTCTCCTGGCCCCGTGTCACTGTAATGGGGTCCTTACTGAAGGAGAGCTCCATACATAAGAAGCTCTAACAGCTGGCAGCCAGTGTCAGTTTATAAGCTCCTCACTTCAGCCCTCAGCTCTCACTCTGATGCTGGCCACTGAAATGTCCCCTATTCTCTTTTTGCCTAAGCTATGCGTTTAATATTTTATACAGCAATTCTAAATGTTTGTAGGAGGAAGGTTTTCTGTCATGATACTGCTGGACAGGAGTTGAAGGAGATTTACTTTGATGTGCCTCTGCCATGGAACTCCTGGAAGTTCAGAGTCTCCAAAGAATGGTTTTATAATACAGTTGGTAACATGGATTCTCTTTACAAATGAGAACAGAAGATCAGCAGATCAGTAGAAACGCATATTTACACAGCAAAAAAAACTATGTTTCTTCAACCAATCAAAAATAAAATTAAAACTATCATCACTGTTTTGGGGGCATCTGGGTGGCTCAGTCGGTTAAGCGTCTGACTTCGGTTCAGGTCATGATCTTACACTTTGTGAGTTCGAGCCCCGCGTCGGGCTCTGTGCTGACAGCTCAGAGCCTGGAGCCTGCTTTGGATTCTGTGTCTCTCTCTCTTTGTCCCTCCCCTGCTCACGCTCTGTCATTCTCTTTCTCAAAAATATATAAACATTAAAAAAAACTAAAAAAAAAAAAACAAAAAAAAACTATCATTAGTGTTTTTTAGGAAGAGGTGTCCACAAATAAAACACCTACCTCAATCCCAAGTTTTAGACAGGAGGGTGCTTTGCGTTCCAGTATACTGATCAAAATGAACACTGTGACCCACTGACCAGAACTGCTTCTGTTGAGAGCTTTAAAAAATTTGTACGTTCTAATATTTCTCATTTTTAACATGTATAGATTTTCAACTTATCATACCTCAGGCTGTCTGGTAATGGCCCCTATAACATCCGAAAATAATATCTGTAAAGACAAACAGAGTCTCCAGCTTGTCCTGGTGCTAGTTAGAAGGGATGTGAAGAAGGACACTACGGGCCTGGGTTATAAGAGAACCTGGATAATATTAAAATCCCTTACAACTCTTCCACTTTTTAAAAAGATCACTTGGCTTGGGTCCAAGATGGAGACACAGTCTATAATATTTTATATTTATAAGTGCCTGACAAAATACCTTCATGTATATGATGCTCTTTTAAGATAAGCAGGTCAGATCAGTGGTTTACATGATTTATTCAAGGTTACAGCCCGAAAATGGCAAAGCCTAGAATAGAATTCTTTTCCGAAAATTATATTTCATGCCAAAGGAGTGTTACCATGGCAAAGCCACCCTCAGGGATATCTTCTGCAGCCTTTGTATCTAGGAATCACTTATAAATTTTAAAAAAGAATGACTAAATGAGAGGCATAAAAATCTAATCCAAATTCAGATATGGCACAACAAAAGGGTGTGTTTGGAGCATGCTTTACATCTCTTCTGTCCATTATGGTAGCCGCTAGCCACATATGATTACTTACATGCAAATTGGTTAAATTAAATAAACTAAAAAGGAAAAGAAAATGTCTTGGTAGCACCAGCCACACTTTGAATGCTCAACAGTAGTCACAGGTAGCTGGTGGCTGCTCTATGGGATAGGGCCGATACAGAGCATTTCCATTATTCCCATTATTAGAGTTCTAGTTGACAGCCTTGCTCTAGAACGTGGATTGATGAAGTTAAGTAATTTTATTGTTGCAGCCATCCAGAAAGAACACGGGCTTTGATGATCTGAATTCTGCCTATGTCACTTACAAACTTGTGACTCTTGAGCAAGTTTCTTAACTTCTCTGGGACTCTTGTCTCCTCACTATAAGTCAGAAATAAGGTGTTAGGAACTACACCTTTGCTTAATCAATTACAGAATCTGCAGTCTTCCCAACCCTCGCCACAGCCTCATAGGGGTCTCATGACTGCCAAAAGGCCCTTTGATGAGTATAGAATATACTACTTCCAGAATATTCAACAGAATCACCAACCTAAACCCTTGGCTAGTGTAGGCATTTTCTCTGCAAGATTTTACCTTTTCCTTGTGGGGGTGGGGGTGGGGTGTTGTATAAATCAAAACTAAAAAATAAAATAAAACAAAACAATTTATTTAGAACTGGGAAAAATGAGAGCTCAGTTTTCTAGTAACTCCAAAAACTGACATGAGTGAAAGAAGCTGGATCTGAAGGTATAACGAGTGAAACGGGTCAGTGTTTTAGTGATATTTCCCACAAGACAATGCCAGAAGAGCAGCCACAGAATCAGGTATAATTACCTGTATACACAATCAGACACTAATTAACTTTTTGTTTAAAGAACAAATCCCTTAACAACTCAATAGCTTGCAGCCTTGACAAGACTATTCTCCACATTTGAGACTAGGTAGACAAAACATAGACCCAAGAGAGGCCATCACACTCCCAGAATCACTTCACCCTGCCTTGTCACTTCTCCCTGATACAGCTGTTCCTTTAAATACCTTCCCCGAGCTCCTCTTGTAGACTGTTTCTAATACACCCACAGAGTTGTACTTGACCTTTTCAGGCCTTTCTCTAGTCTGAAAACAAGCTGATGTGCTCTTGCATTTCTAATTAGCAATACCAGAAACCATACAGCCCTTAGAAAATAATTCAGTGCCTCAACTAACTGGGGAATTGGACAACTTTGGTTAAGTGAGTTTTCTGTTCAACTAAGGAAACCTTTGTTTCAACTTCTTGTTGAAAATCTTTCTAGAATAAAATGCATTAGTGTACCTTTCTGCTTGAGAATATTCTAATTAACGTAATAAACACTCCTGACGATTTAAATTCTTACCATCACAACAAATTAATCTAGGATACTATAGTGGGGTTAAAGTTACAGCACATTTTTATGGTGACGTCAGGTTGTACTCCAGGTATCTGCTAGATGTGCACAAAAAAGTCTGATCTACCTTTCCAGATAACCGAGGCTCTGATTAGTGAAATTCTGGTTAATCGTGATTTAATTCTATTTGTGCTATGCTGCACTTTCAACTCCACAGGAACCTTTGCTTGTGAAAGAAATACTATGATTCACATTAGGCTTATGCTAAATAGTTATGAAATCCATGGGTCTCTGATAATTTTCCAGACTACTTTCAAACTTTTGTTAGAAGCAATAGCTAGATTAAGTTTCCAGGTAGTAAGGAGCAGAATTAAGCCAATTTCCCTTAAAAAAAAAACCAAAAAACTGGATCTGTGTTTCGCTGTAGAATCTTCCCTTTAATAGAAAGTTCAGCACAAAGAAAGCTGCCATCTGAAGTAATTCTGCTGTTAACATTAGTTCCAGTATGTCCCCAGAAATTAAATCTCAGAGAGGAACTTTCTGGACAAATAGTTCACTGCAAAATCAAGAGACTCTATTTCACTCAGATACATAAAGTGAGCTGTGGAGAAGAGTTTGGGGCTTCTGTCTCTGAAACAACATCCTTTCTCACTGAGGGAATTAAAAGCTGCCTAATTTCCAGAGCTACTTCTATTTTACACTGAAGACATTCCTTCAATACTAGTTACCGCCCAGTCAAGTGAAATCCAAAGAGTAACTTGTCCTTTTTAAGTGAGAAGTAACATCTCTCTGGCAATCTCCTTGGATGATAGTGACAGTTGCTCTGCTACCACAACCAGGTCTGATCTACCTACACTCAGTGCCAAACACACTGCCTTTCTTCTGCCCTCAAACACTCATATCTTCAACACCCATACTGAAATACAGGAATTGAGGTTACTTTTTAGTATCTTACTTCTTGAAAGAGCTTTGTGGACTGTATGCAACCATTCTGAGGAGTCTGTAAAATGCCTGAAAGGTCTCTAGAAGTCGCTCTACAACTGAGTAGCTGCCACTTGCATCTGAGTCACAGCTGACTTAACTGCCTTCCTGCCGTACGAGGGTTACTGTATCATTAACAGTGAGTACAACAGCTAGTGGCCCAGAATTTGGACCCAGCAGACACTCAATAAACAGACTGAAAAATAACACTCCCAGGGCAAAAGATAGTACTTGCTTTAGGGATAGAAATATCAGTATCAGTCCCCATCCTGTATCTCTCAAACTAAGTTCTATTTCTGTTGTTCAGGGGGATGGACAGCCAATAATTGAATGTCACAACCAAAACAAAGGGTGAAACTTACTTTCATAAAACAAACAATAGGAATATAATGTAATGCTATTATATGGAATAGTTTATTTAACTAAAACAATATAAATGTTACTGTATACAAAAGTGTATACTGTTTCAATTTTAGAAGCTCAATTTAAAAGGCTTGATCTTACTAAGAGACTCATTTATAACCATAAGAGCATAGATTATGTTTTTTATTATTAACTTGCAAATCCAAAAATAGTGTGATAGAAACTAAAGTCACTCAATTTTAATTGTAAACATATGAACCATAATAAGACAGATATACTTACAGCTTGCATTTCTATACAGAAGAAATGGTTCATGGAGCTGAAATTCCAAATCTTTATTCACTGGTTCAACCAGATTGTGCATATTCAGTCGATTCACAATGGTAAAACCATGGTAAGGTGAGGCTGACCTTAGATTTGACAAAAAAAAAACAACAACAACAACAAAAAAAACCAAACAACCCTGTAGTCACTGTTTAATTCACAGAAATGTTATCTACTTCTTTATTTCCATTTCAAAGAATAACTACATTATTGCATTACACAATATTGTTAGCACTTAAAATTGTAAAAAAAAATTTAAGACAGATCATATCCCTCCTCTTCTCAGAAGTTTCCAAGGGCTTAGTCCCTCAGACTGAAGGCCGATGGCCTTGCTAAGGCCGCCAGGACCTTGGCTGGTATGTGTCCTCCTTGCCTTCCTCTCCTCTGCCTCTTCCCTTGTTCTCTTGCTCCAGCCACACCGAGCTCTTCACTTTCCCTACAGGAGAGCACTTCTACCTAAAGACCCTTGCCTGGAACACTCGTCCCGAATCTAGTTATCTCACCCCCTGCAAGCTTCTCCTCAAATACCACTTTCTCAGTGACACTTACCTAAGAACTACTCTTTCTCAGTTCCCACCCTGCTCTCAAGTTCAATACCTCCAGCCCACCTCTTTTTTCCCATACCACTTATTATTTTTTATATTTACTGTCTTTCTCCACCAGAATGTAAACTCCACACAAATAGGGTTCTTGTTTTTTTGCAGTTGTATCCCAAGATAGATAGCCAGTAGATGTTTAATAAACATTCGCTCAACAAAAATATCACTTATTTTAAATACGGTACAGACTTGGTTTTAGTATAGACTGTCAACCATAACAATCATGATTGTTTCTTACACCAAACAGGTCTTTCCACAGTTCTCCTGAGTCAGACAGAAAATGCCTCGAATCCTATAATAACAAATGTCCTTGGTTCTCCTATCAGGGTGAGTCAGTACATGACCCTTTAGACACTCCTCACATGTATACAACATTTCACAGTTTCTCATTCATTTCTCTGTGTACATGGGAGAGATTTTAGAATACTACTCTATAGATTAGGAAATAAACTCAGAATGATTAAGGCTTTTGTCCAAAGTCACACAAATAATGTGACTAGAATTCAGCTTTAGGTTTTCTGACTCCAAATCCAGGCTTCTTCTAGACTAAGGTCTCTGCAAAGTGATATTCTGACACTGTGGCAGACCTTAATCCAAGGCACATAAAATATTCTCACATTTCCCAAATAGTTTCATTGGTTTCCTTTTGTTAGGATCAACACTGTGTAAGCCTCTATGAATATTATTAAACCAAATCATTTATTATACTAAACTTCATATTTTCTACAAACAGTGGATCTGTACTATTCTGTAACAGTAAGGCCAGGAAAGTACTTTCCAAATATCATAGATACCGAGGCTCTAACTACAATGAGTTTCTAGAGATTTACATAGGTAATAAAGAATAATGAAGTAGGTGAAGGATAAAGGCCTTTTTTTTTTTTTTAAAGGAGAAAGATGAAGGGCAGGGAACAAAGTGGCAAAGACTAAAGAGCTGCTATAGTTAATATGTAATATCAAAGCACTTACATACAAAGAAAAAAACAAAGCAGTGTATTTGGACAAGATCTCAAAGCCATACACCAGAATTTAGAGAATATTTGACAAATTCTTGTTAATTACCATCAATGGAGAAAGGCAATCCTTAAAAGATAACTCCTAATACAAAAAGGTGGGGAGGACCAGATGTCAGTAATAATTCCTGCTGAATCCCTCTGCTTTAGAAACCATGGGAAGGAACCTGCCCCAGTCAGAGCAAGACCTAAGGGAGATCCAGAAAAATAAGGACTCATGACTATCCTTTCCTGTCAGTTACAGTTAGAACACAAAAGTTGCCTAATAAAACAAAAGCTGTAGTTTGTAAACCAATCCTATTTTACATAATGACCTCTCAGAAAAGTTGAAAATATAAAGTGTGCAACTGAATAATCCAGGCTTTCTAAATGACTCTCAAGCTAAAATTACACATTACTAGCTCTGAATCATAGGAAGGCTCAAAGAAGGGACATAACTTGGTTAGAATCTCACAGCTACAAATGGATGAATAGGGACAAGCAGGAAGGTTCCAAAGACAAACGTACAACAACGCTGACCTTTATAGGACACTATTCACCATTAGATTAAAAATAGACATGTATCATTTTTTTAAAAAGCTTACCTTCGATATACAAATAAGGTCCCTTCTATATCAGTCTTCTCCTATAATAGACAATGAGTCAATTAGTTTTTTTCCCCCATACTTCAACCCCAAATGGTCCTAATGGAGAAGAAATAATTCATGTTTAAAATGAGCTTATTAATTTTAAAATTACTCACTTGGGAACAGGTCAAGTAACTCTTTTACTCCACAAACTACTGTTACCAGTTTCTTTCTTATCCTTTCTATGCTATTAATGCATACTAATGTATACACAATGTTCAATACAGCAACATGTCTATTATCTGCAACATTTTTCTTTTTAAAATTAAAAAAAAAATTTTAATGTTTATTTATTTTTGAGAGAGAGAGAGAGAGAGCGCAAGCAAATGGGGGAGAAGCAGAGAGGGAGACACAGAATCGGAAGCAGGCTCCAGGCTCTGAGCTGTCAGCACAGAGCCTGACTCGGGGCTCAAACTCATAGACCACGAGATCATGACCTGAACTGAAACCATTGGACGCTTAACAGGTGCCCCAAAACACTGATGATAGTTTTAATTTTATCTTTGGTTCATTGAAGCAACATAGTTTGTGAGAAGTTACAACTCATTGTAAAATAACAAAGAAAAAGTTTTGCTTATGTTCTATGTGCCATTATCCAAATGAATGAATAACGGCAGCTTATTTTTCAATTCAGATTATGGCTTGCATTTCATATGTAAAGCAGGACTCCACAATTAAAATTCCACAACATTGAAAATCCGTGAAAAACTAGAAATAAAAGCTTGTTAGTCATAAGTTCCTGCCCCCAAGTCTTCACCATTTGTCTGCAATTCACAGCTCACAAATTTATATGCAGACCAAATAAAGTAAAATGATTCAGAACAATTCAAACTAAGGCAATGTCTAAAACAGCTACACTAAAAAAAAAAAAATTCTATAATTTTGTTCTTTTTGACTTTCCGTATCTCCTTCTCTTCCAGGAGGTAAAGGAAAGAAGATAAAGTAAAGCAAGAGGATTCTGAACACTTTCTTCATCTGAATTAAGTGTTTATAAATGTCAAATCATTCTTACAAAATTATTGATTAAATATAACCTATGTTTCTGTTTTATACCTTAAAGAATATATTACAATATTTCAGAGCTTTGTTAGTATAAGCATTTCATTTCTTACTGAAATGTGAACATTAGTCATTTATGAACTCAATCCAACAAACATTTACAGATTATTTGACAAATGTAAAGCCTAAAGCTGAATGAGCAAATTACTGAGGGTCAATTACTAGAAAACTGGAAATTATATTACTTTTAAACAGGGGTTCACAAGTCAGAGAACAGATTGAATGTAACTTTTCAGACCCCCTCCCGTGCAAAAAAAGCCAAAAAGTACTTAGTCTGAAGGGAGCATTCAGAGGTGACATCACCAGCAGCACAGCTGGAACGAAACACATTTACAGGGTCTCTTTTCCAAAGGTTTCAAGGGAATCCAATTAACATGGAAGCCCTTTTCCTAAGTGCCTTGAAATCTTTCCCAAAACTCTGGAAACAGAGTGCAGTTAGATAAAAGCCGGATTTATCCCCACCACCTCCCTTCCAAGAATTGAAACTAATTGGATTTCAAGCTTTAAATCCAAATGACCTCTATGAAGGGGGCTCTTATTTACGTGCTTGTTAGGGGAGAGCACGGGTGTTTACAGATTATGTATATGTACTTTACCTAATAACCCTCACAGCTTCAAACGCAATCTTTCAGGTATCTTTCTGACCCCACCGTTCTCATCCTCCAACACATCTGCAAAGAAGGCAGATCGCCCATGTCCCCGGACCCGACCCCATGGGACTGATCCTCCTGCAATCTTCCCCTCTATCGGCTTTTCCCTCGGGACGTCTTGGGCCTACTTCTCTCGCTCCTCTCTCCCAATCCTCGAAGCCCCTGACACCTTTCAGGGACCGGCCTGTCTCTTCTCCAGTCCCTGGCCTCTCCTCTGCCGCCCTGGCCTCCGGAATCTTCCCCAACCCAGGACAGTCCGCGCGGTCCCTTTAAGAGGCGGTGGCCGGGCGGGCGACCTCAGCGGCCTGGCCGCACTCACCCACTGGTTGGCCTTGGGGCAGAAGGTGTACAGAGCGACCTGGCCCGTGAGGTCTGCGATGCTGGTGATGTAGGGGTCGTGCTGCTTCAGGGCCGCAAGGCTCATCTCCTGCCCAGCTCGGCTCAGCGACTCCATCTTGAATTCTGGAGCCGAGCCCCTCCAGCGGGGGCGGAGTCGCGGGCAGGATGGTGCCATCTAGGCGAGGTTCCCCCAGCTGCGTCAGCACCCTCAACTTCCGCTTCTCCTCCGGGCCTCGCGGCGGGGCGGTACAACAGCTATTAGGCTCCGCTGCGTCCACGGCCCGGGCGCCGGGTTCCGGGACCGTCGGGCTCCTAGGGTCCGGCGTGTCTTTGGCGGCCGAGCTTGCCGGCGGGGCGCAGGCGCATCCTGTACTCGGGTTAAAATGTCCTGTCGGCGGGATCGAGGCTGCCCTCGAGCTTTCTTCGGGCTCCTGCCGGACGAGGCAGCAGGCCGACGCGGGGGCAGCCTGCGCTTGAGGACGCGCAGGCCGGGCCGCGGAACGAAAAGCCGGCTGTGCCTGTGCGGCACTCCACAGGTCGTGGGGGGAAAGCACCGAGAAGCTGGGAGCAGGGAGGGCGGTACCCTGAAAGTCGCCCCAGGTCTCGGATCTCACTGGATGACTATCGCCAGCAATTTGGTGTCTTTCTGTAGGAAAATTTTGAGAAAAGCCAAACTAAGCCTCCTGTAACTACACAGGAATGTCTTGTGCAATTCACTTTTGCTCATTTTCCTCGTCTTGGTCTCATGTAACTCCTTCCATCCGGTCTTGGGAGGAGAGCACGAAGGCCTGGGTTTGTCCTATATCGATTAAAGCTTTAAAAAGATAAAGATAATACATTATTTTAGCAAACATCTGTTGGGCATTTTAACACATTTTGAAGAGCCAGGTACTAGCTAAAGAGTAAAACAAATAACGGAGACTATACGGAGCTCTGTTCACACCACTCAACTTGTTTAAAAATTTTTTTTTCTTACATTGAACAGATACCCCAATGGAATTGAATTTTTGAAAGGAAACAAAACAAAACGAAACAAAAAAACCCCGGGGTGCATGGGTGGCTCAGTTAAGCCTTGACTCGATTTCAGCTCAGGTCATGATCTCATGTTTCCTGAAACGGCGGTGGGGCCCTGGGCTGACAGCATGGAGCCTGCTTGGGACTCTCTCTCTCTCTCTCTCTCTCTCTCTCTCTCCCCTCTCTCTCTCTCTTACCCCACTCACACTCGTACTCAAAATAAACTTAAAAAAAAAAAGCCCTGTAATATTTGTATTTATGATTTTACATTTGTGAATGGGAAGAGACTTCATGTCTTACATTCTTTGCAGTATCACGTGAGAAGCGTGTACAAAGGCAGACAGGAAGCGTGTCAGTCATTCACTGTTCCTTAAGTATCTGGAACTTTTAGGTGTGAGCTGGTGTCACAGGAGGGTCGGAGAGACGCTGATCTTTGTCTCACGGAGTCGAATGAATCTTGTGGAAACAGCGAAGCGATAGTTTGAGGGAAAGTATAACGCTCTAAAGAGTGAGATGTGTCCCGGCTGGGTAGCTCTGAAGAATTTTGTCCCTGACTTCTTATTGGGACCTTATCAGAAAGTTTGTGAGACTGCATGCATGGCACCTAGCCCAGGTAGGTCTGGAATACCTTCATCCTTTTTTTTTTTTTCTTCCAAACCTGGCCTTTTCTTCAGCCTCCCACTTGTAGCTGCAGTCTGCCTCCCTGAAGGTCCTTTATCTCTATCTGCCTAATGTTAACCCTTTCCCTTTTCACTGGTAGCCCCTCAGGAGCTTTAAAGACTGTTTAAGACAACTTCCTGGCTCCGGGAGAAACAAGTTGGACAATGTAAGGAAACTGGGACCAGGCTAGAGATGTTGCTCTTGAAACCCAGAGGATTTCACTCCATCTGGTCAGGAAAGTCTAGGAAGGCTTCATGGAGGAGATGATGTTTGCATTAGTGCTCCGGGGTGAGTAGGAGTTCACCAGAGAAGAAAGCAAGGGCTCCCTTTCATTTTACAGTCTAATGGTGAGCTAGGGAAGGTGTGATCATCCTCATTTGACGGGTGATTTAATTGAAGCTGGATGGAGAAATCACTGGCTCAGTTCCACACTAGTCTGGGGGCATCTGGTATTAGAATCCAGAGACTCCTGCCTTCCCCCAGGGCTCCCTTCCTATACACCATGGCTACCTTTCTTCATCATTGAGAATGAGTCTTCCACCTACTTTCAATAAAATAATTAAAAATCTGTGCCCTAATTTAAAAAATATTTGTATTTTTTGAATAGATAATGCAAGCCCTTGGAATAAAATTCAAAGACACACCTGAAACTTAAGTGATTTTTTTCTCTTAAAAAATTATTACTTTATTGAGGTATAGTTGACACATAGCATTGTATTAGTTTCAAGTGTATGGTATACTAATTTGATATTTGTATACATTGCAAAATGATTACCACAATAGTCCAGCTAACATCTGTCACCATGACTAGTTACAAATTTTTTTTTCTTGTGGTAAGAACTTTCAAGATCCCCTCTCCTAGCTACTTTCAAATATGTAACATAGTATTATTAACTATAATCATCATGCTGTACATTACATCCCCATGACTTATTCATTAATTTTTTTCTTACATAGATTTACCAATATTCAGATGGAAAATTGCTTCAAAAATGCATGTTTGCATGGCCCAAAACGTGTTAATGTTGACTGTAATGCTCTGTACAGTTCTCAAGATATATTAAGGACAATGTGAATACTTTGGAATTGAAACTCTTCCCCCTTTGCTTTGATGCATGGTTTTGCCTTGTGTTTGTGAACCAAACCTTAAGATCTTTCTTGTGTCTTAGACTACAGGCTAAGGGCAGCGAGTGCATCTTTGTTGGGTCTCTAGTATTTAGTATTTATGCCCCTGGCATAGAGTAGATTCTCCATAAATATTCATGAGTGAATGCCATCTTCAAACCCAACGCCTATAAGGCCATGGAGGAGACTACTTGGAGAAGGGAGAGGTGGCTGGGCAGGTCAGAGATGGGAAAGTGTCTTCCTCTTCCCTGGAAGACCTGTCACTTTTGTGCTTCATGCATGTCAATTATTTTTTTTATTTTTTTGTAATTTTTATAATTTATATCCAAATTAGTTAGCATATAGTGCAACAATGATTTCAGGAGTGGATTCCTTAGTGCACCTTACCCATTTAGCCCATCCCCCCCCCCCAACCCCTCCAGCAACCCTCAGTTTGTTCTCCATATTTATGAGTCTCTTCTGTTTTGTCCCCCTCCCTGTTTTCATATTATTTTTGTTTCCCTTCCCTTATGTTCATCTGTTTTGTCTCTTCAAGTCCTCATATGAGTGAAGTCATATGATTTTTGTCTTTCTCTAATTTCACTTAGCATAATGCCCTCCAGTTCCATCCACATAGTTGCAAATGGCAAGATTTCATTCTTTTTGATTGCTGAGTAATACTCCACTGGGTATACATACCACATCTTCTTTATCCATTCATCCATTGAGGGACGTTTGGTCTCTTTCCATACTTTGGCTATTGTTGATAGGGCTGCTATAAACATGGGGGTGCACGTGTCCCTTCGAAACAGCACACCTGTATCCCGTGGATAAATGCCTAGTAGTGCCATTACTGGGTCGTAGGGTAGTTCTATTTTTAGTTTTTTGAGGAAACTCCATACTGTTTTCCAGAGTGGCTGCACCAGCTTGCATTCCCAAGTATTGACATTTGAACAATATTTGTTCTTCCTACCCAGGTGCATGGAATATTTTTCCATTTTTTGTGTCTTCTTCAATTTCTTTCATAAGCTTTCTATAGTTTTCAGTGTATAGATTTTTCACCTGTTTGGTTAGATTTAATCCTAGGTATTTTATGTTTTTTGCTATAATTGTAAATGGGATCGATTCCTTGATTTCTCTTTCTGTTGCTTCATTGTTGGTATATGGGAATGCAGCCGATTTCTCTGCATTGATTTTATATCCTGCGACTTTGCTGAATTCATGAATCAGTTCTAGAAGTTTTTTGGTGGAATCTTTTGGGTTTCCCATAGCTTTATGAAAGTATCCTAAAAGGTACTAGATGCTTTCTAGAATTGCATTTCTGATATGTGAACTAGTTTAGTCTGTCAGTTCTGGAGCAGACATACTAATGCTTTCAACCAGGGAGAAAGAAATCTCCATATGGGGTAATGTAACTGGAATAAAAGCACATGGGATTACCATACCATTTAGTTAATCTGTTTATTGTGTTTAACATGGTGTTCTTGATAATGTTCTTTGGGAGAAAGTTCTACATCCTTTGCCGTTACTTAACCCAATGGAACGTTTCAAATTAACCATAGCATAGCAGTGGTATAAACACTAGCAGTATATTCAAAACTGATACATACTGCTTCTCCATGGAACAGCAAAGTGCTTCATAGGTATACTCACAAACTCTCAAGATTGGTATATGGATGTAGATAATTGTTACGCATTTGTAAATGAAGGCATCCAAAGGTACAAGATGAGCTGATTTCCCTGAGGCAGAGATTGTACACTATTCACCAGCAGTCATTTTTATCCTTTTCTGTTGCCTTCCCCACACAGATAGGTTTCATTTCCCAAACTCTTTTAGCTTAGGTACAGCTCTCTGATCCAATTCTGGCCAGTGGAATGTTGGCAGAAGTGATGTGTGGCTTCTCCAGGCCACAGCTTTAAGGAGCATGTTCCCCCTTGACTTGCTTTTCCCCTTTCTGTTGTCTGGGTGCAGGCAACTGTGGGACCATGAAGAATGGCAGAGACCTAAGATGAAAGGGGTTGGGACCCTGAATCACCACAAAGAGGAGAGGTGCTTGCTGTCCAGGGTATCCTTCTCAGACTGTCAGATGATTGAGTAGACTGTGTTGGGTTTCGGAGATTATGTACTTTGGGAGATTATGTACTTTTTTGTTACCTCGGTCTAGCCTATCCCAACTAATTGTACTGCTCCAGATTGTTCAGAAAGTCAGCAATAAAACTTCAGGCTTCTGAAGTGGAATTAAAATTAAGCATATGATTTACCAGAAGATTGCTTAGTGCTTTGACAATAAGTCAAGACTTTAAGAGAACTCCAGCCAGAGCTCTGCATTAGCAATCAGTTATAAGCACAAATTTGCAGAGTCACAGAGTGGCTAAGGACCAAAAATATTC